TACACGCGGCAATAGCATATACGACCAGCCAGCATTTCTGTTTTTTGATAGTATTGGGCCCGTGCATGTGTCCGTTTCACAGTATGTGGTGACCGTAAAAAATTTATGCATTAGATGGCGGTGGGTGACCGTGTATGTATGCAGTTTAATAGTAGGAATACCGCGCATATGTTCATCAGATGGCGGTGACCGACAGACACCACCGTTTGCACTCGCCTTGAGTATATACGGCCAGCGCGCATACGTGCATTTGACAGCGCAAAGACCGCGCATATGTGCATTGGATGGCGGTGACCGACAGACACCACCGTTTGCACTCGCCTTGAGTATATACGGCCAGCGCGCATACGTGCATTTGACAGTAAATACGCCGCGCACACGTGCAATAGATGGCGGTGACCGACAGACACCTCATTTTTCATGAATGCTGAACATAGAGGACCTTCGCTACGCTTCGGTCGATTAACGGTTGTGAAGCAGGCATCATCCGTGGGCATGTCCCCTTTAGAGTCAGTTACATACAGATCACAAGAAAATCGAACATCTGCCAAACTAATAAGTTCAGTTTGACACGGAGCAATGGTTAAAAACATATTCGTTACACGTGTTTGACGAGGCTTGTGTTGGCCCGATATCATAATCACGGGTATTCCACCTTTCGGTAAGAGTCGCAAGAAGATAAAACAAACGGCTCTCTAGGACCACAGAAGGTTCGGAGCCGCTTTCAATAAGAGCCATTATAGTGAGTCTTCAAGTGAGCCAAAAGCCAGTTGTCGGTTTGTAATGACTTATTTGCATCGTTTTCGGCCCTTAATACCCGATCCTCGCTGTTGTTTCAGTTTGTTACTAACATGTTCTACAGCTTTATGGGCCATATTTTTTATATGCGGTTGGGCTTTTGCTATTAAATTGCTTATATAGGGCGCGGCTTCGCTGAAAATACTTTTAGCAAACCGATAACTTTCCCCCAAAACCCAGCACCGGTCATGGGGGCACCGTGGTATACGGGCATCTCAAACCCATGTTGCCGGCTAAAGGCTTGTAAATAACGATTTTCGTCGAACTTCTGCTCTAGAAGTACCATTTTTCAGCGTTTCTTGGGTCGAAAATGTAACTTTATTATTGCGGTACCAGGATGAAACGATACATTTGTCCTTAAATCATCTGCGAGTTTTAATACGATGGTCTGAAAGGTGTGCTTGGCAAGTGGCACATAATGCGAATTTTCGTAAATTAATGTAGTGTTGGTGTAGGAACTCGCGGCGGTTGCGATTGTCCGTAGCAACGGTACTATTGCATCGCCGACGAACCCGTGCTCAATAATGTCGCATTAAACATGCGCAACACGACTCTGTTTGCCCGGCCGTAACTGGTACGTCTGACCACCGGCACCGGCATAAAAGCGCTCTTGCAATAGACCCCGCGCCCTCGTATTCTCTGATCCCTGAAACGTTAGCTCGGCATCGGGATTTACGACCAGCTGTGTGGAGCAACCAGTCACGTCAATATGTCCAAAGATGGTGTCTTTGACCCGCAGCAGAAAGTTTATTTTCCAAATTAGTTGATAGTGGTCATTGCATGACTCTTTGTCTAAATACCGACTTTGCCTCGGTGTGGTCTTGGTTTCAACCAGCACTGCCAAACCCTCAGTTAACCTGAGACGCATCGGTGGTAAAATAATGTCGGAAAAACCGACTTCGATCAAGATCAATACCTTTGGCTAGCAAATTTGTGAATTACCCACAACGATTTGCGGGATAAATGTTGTGAGATGCGAAAGACGGTATTGTCATATAAAAACTCATTTTAGATCTTCTTTGTTTTCCCAAGAGTCGTAAGCGGGGCCGTAACCGTACCAACTTATCAGGTACTGCTGTTTTCCCTTGCACATTCTCTCCTTAATATACGTGATATACGATGAAACGGTCGCTCGGTCGTAATAAATTTTGACAGTTCGAAGGCATAAAAATCCCCATCAATTTTTGCACCTCCTAGGTTCTCTAAAGCGTTAATGTAATAATTCTCTGGTCTTTTAACTTGTACGATTTAAAGAATTTCTTCAGTGTAGCTGATTTCGTATCCGTTTTCGAACGTCTGCTCGCATTTCGCTATACGCACGGGATCCCCAACCTGAGAGCTAGGATTTTTTCCTGTGGCTCATCTATCCTATCCTGACGTATAATGCGCGCTTCATTCACATCCACTTGACTGGGGGAAACCCTGTACTAGAGTGAACGGAATTATTATACGATTTTCAAATCTCCGGTAAAATATTGAGGTACTTGAAAGTATTATTTTCTGTCATGTACACTTAAAGACGTTCCTTAATTGTTCGGTTAAATCGCTCTAACATGGCACATTTAACATCGTCGTTTTTGTTGTAAAAAACCTGATATCGTGATCAGTAAAAAAATCGTGATCAGCCGTTATTTCACCGGCGCTGTTATCGGCGATAAACAGCGGTTGAATCGCACATAATTCTCGGATTCTACAATGAATTTTTGCTCAATATTGGTTATCCAATATTGAAAATTGATTCTCATGTAGCACGTTGCGAAAATAACAAGGTGGTGAACATGGTTGTACCTGATGTGCATTTTTCCCTCAGGGATATTCCACTCAATCTGCAGCATTTGATTGTACCAGATCGATTGTTGTTGGGATCGCACATCGCCATTCTCGCCACGATGAATGTCAAAAAAGAGCTGTACTGTATCCAACAGCTCGGCTTCCTGATATAACTGACGGATGGCTGTTTGCTCTTCTGGTTTAACGTCACTGGCATAATGCACCTACAGGATATTGACCATATAATTTTGTAAAATTGGATTACCGAAATAAACCCGGATGTTACTCACACTGACAACAACTCCCGCATCTTTGTGCATTATGTGTAATACTGTAAAACCGACCACTTTGCGATTATCCTCGACGGAAGTAGGTACCGGATAGTCGATACGACAGAACCGCTTTTTACAATTGTCCATTCCACGCGTTTCCATTTACCAGCTAACTTCTTCTGCTCTTCTTCTTCCGCTTCCTCATCACTTTCATCCGTAGTGGGTGGTCGCGGTGCGGTCGGTGGTCGCGGTGCGGTCGACTAAATATAACCGTCGAACTCGGCGTCAAGACTTACATGGTTTTTCGGTGGTTCATCATCATATACCCCGGGTACGCTTGATCACTGTGCGCGTCAAAGAAGGCGTCTTCGCGCTATAAATCCCCAGCACGAATTTATATATCGAGAAGCATATAACGAAGATCATTCAGTAATTGATCACTTAGTAATCGACTTGGCCAGTGAAATCGAGCTTCTCCTTTATCATTGGCAGCGTTTCCGTTCGCTAGTAATTACATGTCAATCCCGTGGTTTTTCTACGCTTCTGTGCTGTGGTTATCAGCTTTCTCTTCGACATAGAGATTCAGCAAACACGAATAGCATCGAAACGGGATCGTTCCCCATCATCCATCGCTTGCTCCGTTCTGTAACCCTTATTGTATGACCCGTATTATAATGGTGATCAGAAAACATATGAATTATGACCAGCTGTACAATCTTATTTCCTGTGCCGTAGTAAACAGAGCCGTTCATACTGCGTAAAGACTATGAATAGTACACCAAAACCAACAACTTGTTTTCAGTTTTGATACAGTTATTCCAATTATGAAAGCTATCCGTTGTTTGTTTCTAACACACGAAAGAGTACCCTTGCAGAATTTGGACATAGTAAAATTTGTACTGGGCTTTGTTGGTAATCAGGTAGCCGATGTGGAGCGTGGCGAAGGATGGATGCTGCTAAACGAACTGGTCAACTGTAAATTCGTTGTCCAAATACACTTTTGAAAATCGCATTAATCTTTTCTGTAGCGTGGCTATATCGGTCTCGTATGCCTTTCACGGCCTTTTCTTCCAATGGATACGCGACCAGTTGCTCTAGCAGGGCCTGCAGGTCGCTTAGCGTCGACTGCTGCTGCGCAAACTTCTGAAGGTTCTTTATGGCATTCTGCTTCTCCCGTCCTGCAGCAGTTTGTTCTACTGCCACCGCCAAATAAATCAGTTCCTTTTTATGCGCCTCAAAATACTTATGATTTGGCTCGGAAGGAATCGACCGAAAGCAAGATTTTCCTTTCTGCTTTGCCGCATACTGTTGCTGTCGTACATTGTCCAACTCTTCTTTTGCCTGTTGCGGCGATATGAAATGGTTCACCATTGTCGTACACAGTTAGCAAAGATTAATAAGAAGAGGTTCATGATGGCCAGGAGGAATTGCCCGAAGAAATCGTAGCCCTGGAACTGGCGGAGCAAGACATTCAGTTGATGCGGGAGTGTGCCCGCCGCGGAAACCGTAAGTATGTAGCTTTTTTTATTTTATTATATATCTATAAGTTGTAGTGCCATTGCGCGCCTTTTTTTACGCGATGACCGACGAAATGCACGAACAGGCTGCCGAATCGGCAGAATTTCTTATTCACTTTAACAAATAATGTTCTTTTCGTTAGCTAGATTGCTTTCCTTGTGATTTTGCATTTTTTTTAATTTTTTAGCACATTTAGCTAACGTTTTAAAGGCTTAGCTTATTAACCGACTATTCGTGATTAAGCTTGTCTCCCTTTATTGATATAGATCCGTCAAATTATTCAAAACATATACATGGACAGTAGTTACAGCTAGGGGTGGTAGGTACAGGGGCGGGGGGGGAAGTTAGGGGACCGGAAGTCAGGACTAGGGGGGCAACGGAAGTTATGGCGGGCGACGACGGCGCGGGGGGCGACGGACGTTGGGGCAGTGGAGGAGAAACAACATTATGGCGGACGCGGGGCTGCGGCGGACGCGGGGGGCAATGACGAACGCGGGGTATAGCGATGGAAGCTTGCCACGGCGTGGAGAGTGTTCGTGCGCGTCTGTGAGTTCCGCGGATGCGCTGTATCAGGTAAGTACATATTCTGCTAAGCAACTTACTCATTGTGAATCTGCATAAAGCCAGTAATATGTGTGCAGTTTGTGCAATTTTGTTTAGCAGCAATCGTGGAGTGTTTTACTTGATCATCGTTGGCGTGATTTTGGGTGTTAATGGTATCTACGGTGGCGGTTCGCTGGTGTAGTCATGGACCTTGCATTTTTCCAGAATTTCTTGCAAGTAAGCCTTGCTGACAGAAAGAAATTCACTTTTACTGCTAATATTTTTTCCCATATTTTCTGAGTATTTTTTGCGCATTTATGACATTATGCTGAATTGAATTTATTGCGATTTACTGTTGCCAAATTCTTTAATTATGTGTTTTTAAGTAACGAAAATTATTTCTTTATTCATCCAGTTTCACGTATTTATTTGCGAGTACGCTCGAGCTGGAATCACTTTTTCATTTGAATTGTTGATGCTGTTTTAAGGACGCACTGATATCTACCAACTAATGGTTTTTCCACATCGTAGATGGGTCCTTGGACGATATGACTAAGAATCTGAGTGCAGGTACAGTTTTTGCGTGATCGATTTCAAAACAACACTGGGAAATTGCCTTTTCATCATCCAGGTTAGTGCACGGAGTTATCCATTTCTGTCTGTAATTTTGTGTACATCTGTTTCTTGTATAAAGACCAGGAGTGCAGTTTTATTCTTAATGGATGACATCTGCTGTGCAGCGTCGAACTTGAAACCCACGCATGTCTATACCTATTACGTTATTATGTGTATTTTGTTACAGGATTTTTTCGGATAAAGTAAAACAAGAAATCGAAGATTGTGCAGCTGATTTTGTAGACGATCACGAATGGACTCAGTAGTGTTAGGTAAGGAATTTTTATAAACAATTTGATTGAGTTTCGATAAATTTATCGTCTTTAATTTATCTAAATAATTTCTACGATTTTTTTTAATTTTTTATTAACTACCGAAATTATTTTCTGATGATTTTGAGGTTTTAATAAGTTTATATTGTCAGTTTTAGCAGTCTAATCCGAGTTCTTAATTGTTATTAATGGTTGAATTTTTGGCCTTGTGAAGGGATATTAGAAAGTATTTTTATTGACTCAGTTGACTGTACAGATATCAATATTTACCCAGTTTTGTATGGTGCAAAATAAGTCAGCCAAACTGTAGTGTACGTGCTGGAGTGTCGTTATACGATACAATTTTTTGTTTTGAATACCTTCGCAGAAATCAGCCTTTGAAATATCAACAGAACGCATGTAATCCGGTCGATTTTAGATCGTGACATACGGTGTTTTGTGTAATTCGCACCTTTCGGTAGCCTGTGTCAGCTAGCTCAGCTTTTTTATTAGTGGTACGATTATAATTTTTATTCTTGTAACATACAGCTGTAAAGACGTGGTGATCGTATCCGCTTGCAGTAGCTCTGTCAGTTATAGTGCTGGATAACTTAATTTTTTACTGTATCCGCTAGACGAACTTGCACCACAGAGTCTGGTGTACGGAAAAATGCAGGCCCAATATACGAACTTTGCTCCGTGCAAAAATGTTTTTGATTTAAAATGTTTTCACTCTGATACCACCACCATTTTACATGTTTTGCTGTTCATTGCTAGTTTTTTAATTCTTTGCAACGTTAGATTAATATACTAAGAGAACAATGGCAGAGCTCTAATGTTTTTATGTTTGTAAATCTGGTTTGTTGTGGTTTTTGGGGTGCCCCTGTCAGGGGCAGGCAGGCACCGAGTACAGTACTAATACTGAATGGCAAAGTGTGCTCCGCCCGGTGGTAGGAAGGCTCGTGCTCAATCCCCGGCCAGTGGCAGGCAGCGGCCGGATCTAGAAGTGGTGCAAGTTCGTCTAGCGGCTACAGTAGTTATAATTTTCTTAATATTTACTGCATTTTGATATAAAAGGATTTCTTCATTCTTTATTATAACAGAATTTACAGATCGTTTATTGAGTAATTACGTGTTGTTGTGACGTAGAAATGTCCACACCGGAAGTCCAGAGCGGACGTGACAAGCTGCAGAGAGCGCCGCGGGACGCCAATGCTGCTGCCAAGGCTGGTTATTGCATCTTCCACACGTTTGAGTGGCAACATTGGCCGGTGTGTTAGTGCATTTAACCCATAAAAATCGACGCAGAACCGCCGTTTTTCGATTTTGCCTTTTTTGGCGCCAAAACCACTGGAAAAGACCGGGGAGAATTTGATTACCTGACATTTTGATCAAAAGCAATGTCAAGTAACCTGGTGTTGTTAAAATGCCTGCCTAGTGGCGCAGGACGTAGTGCAAATGCCGGACGAAGGGTCATAGAGAAGTGTGAAGTATGTGTGAAGTAGTACGTGTGAAGATTTGGATTCATTTTTAGCTTGAGTAATTAATCGTCGATATTTTCGCTGATTTGCTATAGTGTATTTGTTCCCAGTGGGTGAAAATCGGTTTATGTTGCCCTATGCTGGAATATTCACATCTTCAAATGGATGTTCTTCCCGCTTGCTGTAGGCTATATGGGGTATATCTATTGTGAAATTATTAAAAGAAGGCTGGCTAAGGGAATCTTTAACGTAGATGGAAATCTTTAGCCCTTCTCGTGCTGCACATTCTTGGAAATGAAACCATCCCTTGTGTAACGACATTTACACATTTTGCGTGATCTGCAACCAATGCGTGTGGGCGCTGTATAGTGTTAACGAGTAACCGAGGCGAGACCCAGCGCCAATAACTGAGTAGTGAAGGGAAATTTTTAAGTTTGAGACAACATCGTATAATCGTATCTGGTCATTTTGCGTATAAAGTTAAAAGTCTAAAAATATGACAAATTGTCACCCGCATTATTCCCCCTAACATATGATTACTGTACAGTACTAAGAAAAAACTGAACCAACTGCATACATGCACGTTGAATGCCAACTAATCGAAATTCGCGGCTTGATCTACAAGGGAAAAAACAGTACCGACTTCATTAAGTACGGCGAACGGTTAAATGGATGTAAGCTGGTCAGGAGACAAAATTAGTGCCCTGAAGTACAGTCTAAGTATTTATCCAATTAATCTCAGCGAACGTTTATTTGCGTGATCGGCTTTCTCTCGTTCTGCATTATAATTTAATGACTGGATATTCGGCTTCGTTTTCCTTGGCTGGTTGCACCGTTACGGAAATTCTAAGTATAATCAAAATTATAAATGACAGATTTGCCTCAAGGAAGAAAAGTAAAATGAGAAAACTGCAATGTTTCAAAATGCAGGCCTCGCTAAAGATAAACGCGGTCGTGTTGTGCAACAAGTGATCGTACCAAGTTACCAGCTGTATGGTGATACTACTTGAGAATATATTGTGATTATAGATCTTCAAAAGCCCTCGCAAATTGGTTTGAACTTTAATTGATGGATTGGGACGGAAGCACAGTGTTTTGTGTAGAGCGATAAAGTTACGCCTTCATATTCTTGCAAATCAACTGAAATTTTTAAAACGTCGTTTCGTCCGGCCAGGTAAATGAGTCGCCAGTTCTTGAAGGACACCGCGCAACTAGTTTCTCAGGCTGTGTTAAAGTGAAAATCGGCTCATCTTCTTCTTCCGTTTTGCACTCTTCACACTGGTCGATTTCCGGTGGAATCGTTTCCGCATTGTGCGACCAGTGTACTGCATTGTAATAAAATAAGGAAAAATCCTCCTTTCCACATTTAACAATTTTATTCGGGCATTCGGATTTAAGGCGGTCAATGCTGGTGTTTACTGCTTTAACACCCTTGGCGCCTAAAATCATACGCTATCCCGAACTGAACACTTTATCCGTGATACCCAAATCATTGTATCGCGTTTTGGCTGCATCAAATAGTTCCGGCTCGTAATAAAGACTGTTGACTTTTGCAGATTTATAATGGTTAATAGGATGTTGATGGTTGTACGTCGCTATAATATTTGCAATACGTTTGCTGAGGACAGTGGCTGAATAACCAAGCTGTGTCAAGCGGGAACGGTATCGCTTTAACAATGTGCGAACTTCCATCTCAAAAGTGCCATCGCTGAAAATCGCTTTGCCCGAACTAAAAACCTAAAAATAACTGCCATCATAACTCATAAGGCGTAAGACTGAGCGCCTTAAAATTTTTCAGTTGTACACTTAGTGGACTATAATTTTCACAGATGTACACTTAGTGGAAGACAGGAACAGTAATTGTGTGATGAACCATTTTCAAAGCAGAATAAAATCAAGAATTGTACGAAAATGAAAGGAACTAAGACTGATTTTAGGTATCCCTACATAGCTATTTTATATGGTTTTCCTCAATCGATTTTGCAACGAAAAAGTATGAATTTTCCGATAACTGTAAGCCAATAAGAAGTCAGGCTCCACCCTCAAAAGAAATCCGGAACTTTTCCTCTCCGATTCAGAGTGCTAACCAAAGCCACAATACTTCAGCTTGACTCGGCATGCCTAGTTGTAGAGGAATACCGGAATGCTGCCGGAAGCCCTCCCCCCCGAGACAGTGGCACAATACTGAAAGCCCCTGGGAATATCCGGGGCCCACCCTTAGATCACACCTTCCTTTACGGACGTGCCCCTGCATGGAAAATCGGCGAGAGTGTGCCCTTACAGGTACCTAACGGCAACTACTCTGCAGGCTAAGGTGGCCCTCTGTAATTGAGGAAAATCTATGGGGTGGGGTGGGAACCCTGGGAAGTGTGCTACTTCAGCTGCAGCAAGTAGGTTCCGTACAAAGTTACCAGACCCCGTAAAACCTTGCGTGGAAAATCCCATGTAGCCCCATGGGCATTGGTGCCGAATACCAGCCTAAGAAACTTCTCTATTCAGCAAGAAATACTTAGCTTAAAAATAAAAAAGACTTTCGCCACTCTGACCTTTTCACATCGTAGAGGGTTTCATTCAGGAAGATGTATAGCACATGCCAGCCGCGGCCGTCAAAGCCCTGGTGGGCAACGGATCCCACCGGCGAATGCCGGCGCGACGACTGAGCGCCGCCGGCCAGTTGCTGTTTAAATGCCTGCGCCCGACCGGCTGCTGCGGTTGTGAAGTCATAACGGGGAAACAATAGGGTGAATGTGGCTGGTGTGAAAGCAGGATAGACGCCGACACCATGCTGCCGCAAGGCCGGCTGTAGGGCTTGTGCCCTGAATGCGGAGAGTGATGCCCCGGTTGTTTAGCCCGAACTGGGGAGCCGGCGCCTGCCGCTACGACAACTCCGGCTGTTGCTGCTGATTATATGGCCGATGTTGTTGGTGTGGATAAATATCAGCTTAATCGAATTAAAATGACTGTCCGCTTAATGAGCACCAAGAAACGGTAGCCAATGGCTTCCCCACTCTTAACGTAGAGCTCGAGTCGTCCATGATTCAAAAAAAACGTGCATGAGGACCGCAGAGCTATATAATGACATTGTCAGCAATAAGATTACGATACTACTGGGACAGAATGAGTACTGATGTAAAGAATTACATACTCGCCTGCCAAGGATGTCAGTTCCGTAAAACACCGAGGAAATGCCCACCCGGTAAATTGCAAGAGATAAAGGTCGGACATCCGTTCTTCAGAGTGTACGCTGACCTAAAGGGACCGTTGTTACCAACGAAGAAACGCGGATATAAGTACATAGCAGTGTTTATTGATCAACTGACGAAATACGTGATTGCGGTACCAATGAAGACGGCAACGGCTAAAGAATTCGCCAAAGTGTTTGTGAAGCACGTGATATTGGTACACGGAGCACCGCACATCCTACATACGGATCGCGGACGACACTTTACAGCTGAAGTATTAGCAAAGGTCACCAATGTGTTTAAGATTAAACACACATTCGGAACGGCATACCACCCAGAAGGTCAAGGCCAAGTTGAAAGGCAGATGCAGACAATTGCGGATGGCTTGGCACAATACCTGAAAGCGGGAAATGAAAGAAAGTTTAACAAGTACCTCTCATATGTTATTTCGGCGATGAACAGAGTCGTACACGCCACAACTGGATATTCGGCATATTATATGCTACACGGCAGAGAAAAGACAATCCTTTTTCGAACCACGCACTGCTACCGGAGATAAGGATGACCTTTCGAAACGGCGAACTGGCGCTGAGATATCAGAGCGCGATTCGAATTTTTTTGAACCACGCACTGCTACCGGCAATGAGAATGACCTTATAGAAAAGCGAAAAGAGGAAATAGAGGCGGTCAAAACAAAGGCAGAACAATTGGGCCGCGATATAGCGAAAGCAATCAATGAGCGAAAGGTCAAGCAGAAGAAGAAGAAACCAACTCCTACGGAACTGCTAACCCAGAAAGGCGAACCTGAGGATGCAGCCGAGAAAGAACTCCTTGATCGGATAACTAAAGGACGCGAGAACAAATAACCACATAGACATAAATAAGGGGTCATACTAGATTAAAAATAGGAGTTGGGAAGGCAAAAAGAAAGGTCACCACTGTGCAAAAAGTTAACCTTTATTGTTTCATTTTTATAGAAGGTAAGCAAAGTTAATGGAAAGATTGGAACGGCAAAACTCAGATAATTCTGATTCGGAAAGTATTGGAAACCCACTAAAGACATCGACACCAATAAGAATGGAAGGGGAATACGGTTACGACACCTCATACGGTGAAAGATCGACGTGGTCAGTGGGAACGGCTCAAAATGAACCCGGAACAGTTCAGGGAGGTTACTACGGCGGCCAGGGGTATTACGTGTATCACGATCCAGGACAGCAGACGAATTACCAGGACACGGTTAACTGGGTGCACCACGGCTCACCTGCCGGAACCCAGTATTCGGGACAAGCAACGGGCGCTATCAACCGTATCCGGGATCGTATACCCACCGGCGGGACCATCGCAGGTGATAATGGGACCGGCGAGAATGCTGATGCCGCCACCACAACAGACTACACCGAGTCGATTTACGGGACACGGAGGATTCAGCGGAATGCTAGTGACTCCAGTGCAGTCACAAAGGTCATCTCCAATATTACCGCCTTTTCCGGAGACGGGAGGCTTGTCATTGTCGGACATAGGAACGCCTCGCATGAGAACACCGCAGCAACTAGGAGCGCAGCGCCCTCATCCTAATTCGCCACACAGAGGAGGAAGGCGACCGAGAGGCATTCTACCATCATTGGGTCCCAACCTGGATCAGACTGGACCAGATGGACTACGGCTCACGCCCCCAGGCGAACCCTCAATACATGAATACGCACCGAAGCTTCCTTTGGATTTGAGGGACGATGACCCGAACCTGAATTTAATTGTGGATAAAAGGGAAAAACTGACGGACACCGACTTAGAAGCCATTCGCGACTTCAATCGGAAATGCCGCGACCTTTACAGGATCCACATGCGAGTTGAAGACGAACACGCATGGTACGGAAAGTTAATCAGTCTGGAAGCTGTTATCAAACCATGCCACATTGCCATGAAAGATAAGACGAAACAGGTTGAAGCAAAGCGCAAGGAATACGCAATACAAGTTGCATCGATGTGGCAATATCATCCGACGATAAACGGTAGAAGGTGGCCGGAGACTGTTGAAAAGATCCTTAGATATCTCAAAGTGTTCCCGGAAACAAGACAGATGCCGACTACCAGCGCTGCGGGACCATCCAAACCCATAGCTGAAAAAGACGCCCCAGTCGATGAAATGACGGATGAGGACCTGTTGGCAACAAAGAAGAAGATTGATGCTGAATTAACTGAACGAGCAGAAAGGTCACGGGCCAGCTCGACCGCAGGATCAGTACGCGGACGCACTAGTTCGGTTACAGAACCATCTAGCGGAGCCACGAAGAGTGGAAAAAGAGTAAGGTCACCAACGATAAGCCCAAAAGAAACTGACAAAGGAGCAGTGTACCAAAAGGTCACGACGACATAAAGCTAAACCAAGGCCCAGTCCCAGTGGGTAGAAAGAGTGCGCCACCCACGCCGGTTGGAACAGAAGGTCAGATTCGATTCCCGAAGTGTAGAAGTTTTACGGCCAAATACACTGGGACAGACCATAAAGAATATAAGGTCACGGCGCGTATAGTCGATAAGAAAACGAATAAAGAGATCGACTCGTATAATCCGTTCGCGGATAGGTCAGTTAAGGATGCCATTGGGGAGGAATCAAAAACGGTAGTCAACGAGGCGCTACAATTTGTTCCCCCGGAAGAACGTCATAACCCAAGAGTTCTTATTCAGATGATGAAGCACGTGGTATCTAAAGTTGCGAACGAAGAAGATGCACGGATCCGTATCAAAGTGGGCACAAATGATGACCACTTGGCATATACATACACTGTGGACGGCAAATTGTTGACCGAAGAGAGGACCCGCTCTAAACCGACGGCAGATCCAGACCCAAAGAAACGATCGTTAGATGATTACGAATCGATCCTGAGATATACAGAGGCGACAAGCAGAAAAGTCACCCTCAGACTTTACGCTGGTAACGGAGAAGTTACGGAAACCATAACTGCGGTGATAGTAGACCCAATAACAGGAGACCCGATTCCATATGCTCCATGGGATGTATCAGACGAGAGCGCTCGAAATGCAAACCAAGCGGCCATTGAGCAGCTATGGAATCTGATACCTGAAAGTGACCGGGAAGATCCGGTAGTTCAAGCGAGCACATTGATCAGCATGATGAGACATCGAGCGGAGATCGACGAAGCGCATTTCCGACTCACAAGACGAATGGAAAACGGGTCATACAAAACGGTGTTTTATGACGCTCAGAAAAACCCTTTGTGGGAGGTCGTCTCACAGGGACAGCTGAAAGAGACAACGCATTTGGAAATTCAGCCCCCGGCACAAGAAGGCGGAGCCGGAGAGACGGAAGAGGCGCAGGGCACATCGGCAAACGTAACCAAAACTGGAGGCGCCAGACGATCGTCAAAGGAGGACGAATCAGACGAAGAAGAAGATGATGACGATTCGGCAGGGGATTCAGCCGAGGAGGACGAAGAAACGGCCGACAAGCATAAAAAGCCCTCAAAAGTCAAACCGAGGAAAGCACTTAAATTGGAAGAAGCTATGAAACGTGAAAAGGTTAAGAAAGGTGATTTTCTCAAGAAACGAAGGGAAGAAGAAGATAAGATGGAACGACAGGAACAAGAAGACAAGAAGAAAAAGAGCGGTGATGAAAGCGATAGCACAAGCACCGGGAAGAAGAAAAGGGAAGGATCAAAGAAAAGAGATGAACCAGCGTCTCATGATGTTGAAATACTGGATGAGTCAGTCGGCGAAGTTGAAGAAAGGTCATCGAAAGTCATCCAATCGGCAACATCAGAGCCATCAAAACCCAGAGGAAAGGTCATAGCAGTGAAACAAGTTGTCCCCATCGTCATCTCTGCATCCACGCCAAAAGAGCGCAAGGACAAACAGATTCGCGAAAAAGCGAAACGGGAGACGTCGCGTGAATCGGAGGCATCGGAAGTGAGCCTTCCAAGAACTTCGACGGTTAGTGCGAGGTCACATACGGATTCGAAAACGACACGATCAAGGACTACTGAACCAAGAAGTCTAGCGGAGGCTTTGGATAAAGGGAAAAAAGCAAAGAGCGAACCCGTTAGAACCAAAGGAAAGGGCAAGACAGTTACGGAAATCGATGCATTGGCGCTGGTTAATTATACTGAACCAGATGGAGAGAGCGAACTGGACTTCACCTCGGATGAAGAATTTGATGGTCCTGGTGATGATAATTTGACCACGGTCGATGAAATCATCAACGCGTATAACGGAGCTGAGAAAAATTTCACATGAATAAGAACAGCATCGGTGACATACAAATTCAAAGCGGGCCTGAAGACATATTTGAAGAAACAACGTCGTAGCTTCACTAAACGAAAGTTCGACGTCGTACTGGAATTCGCGCGGAACGCAGGAAAACTTATACAGAAGCACCCGAGTTTTTCGTATGAGGCCAAGTTGTTCAGACCAGCTAGTTCGGATAAAGCGCTGACAACGCCGAACGAAGCCGTCCCAATGCGAGTAGAAAGGGCAACCGCAGGGATGACAAGCCCGTTAGGGTCAACGAGTCACCGGATCAGCCAACACATCAACGCAGTTTGGAACGATGGAAACAGAATGATAAAAGAAATCGATACGGCAACTAAGCGTGTATTGCCGAGACTGATTAAACAGAATGTCCTTGCTACAACAAACGCCAATAAAGGACATCCAATCCGATACACGAGAGTTGGTTTGATACCACCGGAAAGACAGATCCACTGTCATATGTCTGACAGTCAGGATACGGAAAAGGTCACAGTTCCATTGAGCGGAGACCCGTCAACTCCGATATTGGATTAGATTGCACAGAAAACGGCTGAAGAAGAAGCGGCGAGGCTGAAATCACAAGCCCCGAAAGCGTCGAAGACAAAAGGACGAATGGACTCGGAATCGGGAAGTGATGACGATACTACAGTAACGGCTCCTTCTGGAACTGTGACAGAAAAAGACGAACAGTCAGAAGGTCAGAAAACATCTGGAACCGCCGCAGAAGTTCAACCGAAAGGTCACGAGACTTCGGGAGAAAAGCGGGAGAAAGAAAAGGTCATGCTCCCGATGGACAAAGCAGCGGCAGAAGCAGAAGCGGCCTCTGCGCGCCAGGTGTTTCAGAAATCATTGTTCATACCACTAAAGGAAGTCTTCGAGAAAGAGCGATCGAAGTCAGCAGGTGAAGTGGGAGGTTATGAGACTTTGCCACAAGAGGAAAAGAAGACAGCAGAACCGGAATCGGCGGGTTCATCATCAGGATCATTGGCAAAGCTGAGGATTGACGAAACAGCGACAACTGACCCAACGGATTCGGCACCCTCCCAGAAGAGTAGCGGTACGCCAAGAGAGGAGGCTACAGATTACACGCTAGGACCAGCATTGGACGTGGACAATCGTACATGGAACGAAGTCCAGGCTGCGCTTCAGATCATTCGAGAAAAAGAAATGCTTGGTACAGACCTGAAAAGACAAGTGGCAATAAATACGAACGGAAGGTCGTCACTCAACATGACTGAACGAGCCCTGAAACGAGCATATAAGGAAGGAAAGTTGGGATGTAAATACAACAAGGACAACAAGGTTGTCTACTACCTTCCGAAACAGGGTCAGGAACGAACACCCAGACTGAAAATGGAACTGGAGGCCTGGAAGATAGCCATTACAGACGTGGCTTTGGACGCCATCGGTGGTACCAATGGAGCGTCATGGAATGACCTTTCGAACTTCATGGCCGTCCATTATGAATTGGGAGAGCTGAATATTGAAAGCGATAAAGAGTGGATTAAGAATGCCGTCGAAGCCTTGATCGCAGAAAACGTGCTTCATATTAATCCAGATGGACGGGTCGACTTCAAACCGTACAAACCACCGGCGAAGGAATCCGAGTGAACGGGACAAGTGTGATATGCAGCGAGTAATGAACCCTGCATATTGCAGAAAAGCATAAAATAGTTTAAAACGAAAGGGAAAAGTGTTACGAAAGGTCAGCTGAAAGCAGTACTAGGACTAATAGAAAAGGTCACAGTAGTCAGAGAGTGCTGATAACGTGAGAAAGGTCACCACGTTACAGTGATAGAAAAGGCAGCAGGAACTAGGAAAGTCTCAGCTCAGTCGGAATAGGCGTAAAAATGATAGCAAGCCTTGATAACGGATAGGAATGGAAAGGACTAACGTGAAAAGGTTATTATGATGGATTGTTTTATAATTGCAGATTGAAGAAGAAAGATGGCACAAAAAGGTCAAGCCACTTCTAAACGTTCGGGAATGGCGGCAGACATCTATCAGTCTACGGGCTATAACTCAAAGTGTCCGGACTGTTTACGGAATAACAAAAGGGTCGATAAGAAGTTCCCATGCTACACCTGCGTTCACAAGCTGGAGGACCCACATATTGTTGCACTCGTTGGGATTTTGGAAGCCAAACGTGGGAATCTGGACGTCTTCCGCAACTTGATAAGTGCAAGGAACTATGGTAGCATCCCAGTGGAAGAGCGAATGCTGCTTGAGGATCGTTATCGGGAAGCGATCCGGAATAATGAACCTGGTTGGGATGACACCTTGGAACCGTTGAAATGCCCACAAACGGACGCGTATCGGAAGAAGTTCGAAGAAGACCAAGAGAAGATGCGAGTTCAGGAAATGGAAGATGAAATCCGCGCGAAAATTAATGCGCAAAATAAGAGAGCAAGTGAACAGGCTGCACGAGAGGCGCTGCCCAGTACGTCGAGTTCAGCCGTACCCACAACCAGCCTAAACGAAGAGGAAGCGCAGCTTACCCGTCAGTCCCTCATTATTCAAATTGAAACGATAATGAAAGACCCCGCTGCCATGCCAGACGAGGTATTAAAAGCGCTACTGCGGGAGAAAAAACGACTTCAAGACGGATTCGCCCCAGCGCCGTATATTAAGAAGGAAGTCGAAAGACAAATGAACGAATTACGTAAATCTCGCCAAACTGAGAGTGATGTGCTCCAGGCACTCAGAGGTTTTAAACGGGATGAAGGTTTCATCCGACCTCGATCACCTCCGTATAGAGAAAGGTCACGCGGACACTCCCGAGAACATGAGCGGACTTCCGAACGACGGAGAGAAAGGTCACGCGAACACTCTCGTGAAAGGACACGCGACTACCACAGCGAAAGGTCACGCAAACATTCCCGCGACCGAGATTACCGTGGCGGAAGAGGATGGGTGCGCCGCGGAGATGAAATAACAGAAATGTATATCCAGCGAAAGATCGACACGGCAAAGATTCTGGCAGCGACGAGGGAACGCGAAGAGAAACGGCGTGCGGAGACTTTTCGTACAGAGCCTGAAAAGCAAGGGCATCAGGTGCCGTTGGGAGTGGCGTTCTGTAACCGCAATGTCAGAATGTCAACACCCGAAAGGTCATGGGACAAAAGACGCGAACAAACGCGGAATCGAACACCCGACCCACACGATAAAAGATGGCAACAGAGAGCCGCATTTTATGCGACCTTTGACTCGGGCGCAAGCAAAAGGTCATCAAGCGCAGAGCGGGAAGATTCACCCCCGAAATATCAGCGAATGGAGTCAACAGTCCATGTGGTGGATCCAATTGGAAGCGCCGTTCAAGAAGACGACTTGATGGAAGGGACCAGTTCGGTTGCGGAAGCGTCTCAAGAAAGCGTAACCCATCGACAAAATGTGATTCTTGATAGCGACCTCCAACCGGCTACACCGGCGAGTGATGAGCCGTCGCAGCCTGAGTCAGGAGAGCGACGTGAACTAGAAGGTCAACGTGAACCGGATAATCGTCGCGACACGGATCGACGAACAACTTCTCGATTCAACAACCGACGTCCAGAATGTATTGATATGGAATACAATACGACTGATATCGATGAGCAAACGGTCGAAATTTGCCGATACTTTGGAATTGAATCGGATTCGGTGGAAGCTAACAAAATTGGCACAATTCTGAGACAGCTGAGCCAATTCTTACTTGATTTGGGCTATGCGGCTGATATCAGAGAAGGGTTACGTGAAGGAACTTTTCGTCGACTGTATATTCCCCGCGACTCAGTCAGGGATTGTTATCTTCCTATTCGACGGAACGGGTTACACAGCTTAGTGGACTTGAACTTATTGGATGTGCCACTAGACACAACCGACCCAATCGGGATGACCCAGTTCTACTACGCAGATTATCCCGAACGACAAGAATATGTAGCTCAGTTTGTTTTGCGACATGTGAACCCGGCTTTCAAGTTGCTCGCAGCCAGGGCATCAGTAGGACTGCAGGTGGATCCTAAAGATTATGCCGCAAAATGGATGGGGCAGAAGGTATTCGCTGCACGACTGGCACACTATAAGACACAGAACCAGTTGGTATCCAATACCATGAGAGACGATATCCCACCATTTTTCCGAGCTCATGTCGCTAAATTGGGGCAACCAATGGAACATATCAGCATAGCGCATACAGCTCGAAAGGCGCTGAAAAAGTGTAAGACACGAATGGAAAAGGGCAACTTGACACAGCGTCATGCCTCCCAAGTTGAAGAAAGGATTAATAAGATCAAAGATTCCCTGGGCAGTGACTATGTCGAACCAGTGGACGGAGTTGAAACGTACATCGATGAATTCCTGGTGAAGAAAAGCGACCGACGTCCGGAACGCGCCCCTAATCAGATGGGACGACGCAGTATACGGAACCAGCAGCTTCGGGATAATCTCGCTGATGTGCAACGTCGATTAGCTAACGACCCCGATAACCGAAGATTGCGGCTGGAAGAAAATGACGCACGCCATCAACTCGAAAGGGTTAAGCGAAGTCGTCAAGGGAAAGGTCGTGGCCAGCGCGAAGTTGACCCGTCAAAGGTCATGGAAGTCGACCCCACGGAACCAGTTGACCGAATATCTGATCGAAACCAACCGGAAAGTGCTAAGAAACGCCCGCCAAGAGATGGCGAGGGCGATTCAAATGAAATGGAATAGTGCTGATCGTTAGGATCACACTATTAAAAGGACGTTTACGGCATTTTGTCGGTACGTCACAAAGATGAACATGGTGTTGTATAAAAGGGCGTGACATGTGACATGTTAGCACTAACTGTATTCGTGTATTTGTTGTTTGCAAGCGTTTATAGCACAGAATTGCCTAAAGAAATCATGTGGAATATCTATTGGGGTTGAAATTGATTCGGTCTATAGAGCCGGCCCCAAGGGAGTTGCTACGGCAGTTAGCCGGCCCTCCTCTCTAAGCGACTCAGTGTTATAAATGCACAAGAGAAACTACG